TAACTGGGCCTCCGGCCTCCTCTGTGCTTCCTTGCTGCTGTTCCGGCACAGTCTAGACTGGCACTGATCCAACCATCCCCTTCTGGAATCTTTTCTCCCTGCTAACCCACAGTCTCTGTACCATCCCAGCATGTTGTCCATGTTGGAAGCCCTGTTCTACTGATACTGGTTTCCATGTTAACCAGAAGGTTAATATCCACAATTTTCTTTTCATGTTTACAAGACGCTGCGTACAAAATGGCCCATTTAGACAGGTGGAGAACTGAGGTCCAGAGATGCTAGTTGAGGAACTTCTGGCTCCAGCAGGGGCCAGGTGTGAACCAGGCAGGTGTGAGGCTGCCGCAGTGCAAAGCCCACCACCCCACACCCTTCCTCAAGCCCCCCCTCATCACTTTACAGTTACCGGTGCCTTCCTTACGGCTCCCATAAGGAGGTGTACGATTCCATGGGTCTAGCATATTTGCAGACATGTGCGAGCATCCTCTCAGTTGATTTTAGAACATTTCCATCACCTGAAAAAGAAACCGTTTCCTTTAGCTCTCACCCCCTGTATCCTCCCTGCCCGCTCACCAGCTCTGAGCAGCCGCTGTCTCTAGATATTTCCCTATTCTGGACATTTCACATAAATGCAATCATATAATACGTGGTCTTCTGTGGCTGGCTTCTTTCACCGAGCATAATGTTTTCAAGGTTCACTCGTATTGCACCATATATCAGTACTGCATTCATTTGTATGGCCAAATAATGAAATAATATTTTACAGTGGAATAATATTCCATTTGTGTGTGTATGTGTGTGTGTGTGTGTGTGTGTGTATGTATGTATATATATAACATTTTGTTTATTCATTCCTCAGTTGATGGACCTATTTGGGTTGTTTCTACCTTTTGGCTGTTGTATATAATGCTGTCCTAAACATCTGTGTACAAGTTTTTGCGTAGACATTTGTTTTCATTTCTTTCAGGTATATACCTAGGAATAGATATTCTGGGTCACATGGTAACTCTATGTTTAATCGTTTGAAGAGCTGCCAGACTGTTTTCCCAAGGGCTGCACCGTTTTACATTCTCTTTATGAGGCACGGTATGAGGGTTCTGATTTCTCCACATCTTCATCAACGCTTGTTATTTGGATTTTTGATCCTAGCCATCTTCGTGGGTGTGAAGTGGCATCTCACTGTGATTTCGATTTGCATCTCTCTGGTGACTCATGATATCCAGCATCTTTCAGGTATTTATTGGCCATTTGTGTATCTTCCCTGGACAAATGTTGGCTAACAATGACTCTGGACCCTGGGCACCGAGCTTCAGTCTTCCCATCTGTAAAATGGGACGACCACTGCCCATGCAGCACTCTTACAAAAGACAAGATGTAGGTTGTAGAAACACTGTGACTCTGAGGACACGTGCAGTTGAGAGCTGCAGTCTCAGGAGCTACTGAAACCGGGGGTAGACAGCCCCCTGTAGCCTGGGGGCACCCATCCCTTGGCAACTCTGCCCTGCTTTCCTCCCCTTACCCCTGCACACAGGCTTTGACTGCTCCATGGCCAGCAACACTGTAACAAAATCTGTGGCGGGTGAAGCCTTCTCATAGTAAAGCTCATTCAGGAAAGCAATTTACCAAATGAACAGCTGTTCAAATGGTGTGAGCTGGGAGCTAGGTTTCTGGCTTTTCAGCATATGGTTGATGTCCTGAGTTGAATAGTGTCTCTCCCAGAAGACACTATTTCGGGTCCTAACCCCCAGTGTCTGTGAATACGACCTTATTTGGGTCCTTGCAGATCTAATTTGTTGAGATGAGGTCACACTGGATCAGGGTGGGCACTGGTCCAGCGACCGTTTCCTTAGAAGAGGAAGGAAATTTGGACACAGATACACAAGAAGACGTCCATGTGACAACAGAAGCAGAGACTGGATTTATGCTGCGACAAGTCGATGATCGCCAAGCATTGCCAGCAGCTGCCAGAAGTGGGAGGGGCAGAGAATGACCCTCGCCTGGAGCCTTCTTGGGGAATATGGCCCTGCCCACACCTTGACTGCAAACTTCTAGCATCCAAGAGCTGTGAGGTAACACATTTCCATTGTTTTAAGCCACCCAGTGTGTGGTACTTTGTTATGACGGCGATGGGGAACTAACACAGGTGACAATGACGTTAGTAACAATGTGCAAAAGCCCTGGGGTGGAGGGGGGATTCTGCTCCACTGGTGAGTGTGTGTTTGGCATTTCTATTCATATTTATGTACCGAGAACGACTCTCTACCCAGTGACACTGAAGGCATAAGACCCTCATTCCATCCTCAAGTTATTGGGTTGGCCAAAACGTTCGTTTGGGTTCTCCTGTAAGATGTTACAGAAAAAACCTGAACGAACTTCTTGGTCAACCCAACAGTAAGGGAGATGGACGCGTGAATACAAACTGCAGGGCCCAGAGGTGACCCTAAGGGCTAAGGAGAGGTGAGGCTTGTTGGGAGATGCAGACTCTGGCCATACCTGCCATCCCCGGGCTCAGGGTTGCCAGGCTGCCCCCTGAGGTCCTCATCAGGTGAAAACACCTCAGAGTCTCTCCCAACTCAAATCTGTAGTCTGATTCTGGATCTGGAGGTTTAGTGATTGTGATTATTTTCTCATCCTGATCATAAAGGTTCCAGAAGACCTTTGGATAAATTAGCTTATTTATCAAAAGCTGCATACAGCCATCCCCGGGCTTACTACTAATCATTCCTTCTAAGTCTGTTCCCAAAGGGCCTTCCCAGCACGGGGCCAGCTGCTGAA